AAGCTTAAAGCTGAACTCCAGTCACAAAAACCTTCATTTAAATACTGTATATCCCTATCAATAGCCACAAAGAATAGAAATCTACTATGTTTGCCCAAAAAACCATTGGAACCTCAGATATTACCATACGAAAGTGGCAGTGACATAATCACTGTGCTGCACATAGCCTGTGCATAGAGCAATGTTGTGGGAGGGGCCCAACAGGCCCCACCCACTACAGACTGCAGAAAAATACTGGAGGCATAGACACGAACAGTCACTTTGCACTAGGAGAGAGAGCAGTGACTGGTCTTTATTACAGGAAGCTTCACAATGAATTACTGCACAGATCTGGAAGACATGCACACAGCTCACCAAGATTCAAGTAAGAATACACATGACTCTTGTATGTATACAATATTTGCTTATCCCGGAGTTTAGCTTTTAAAAATAAAAAATCCACGTTTTAGAAAAAATAATAATTGCAGACTTCTTGCAAGCATTGCAACCGATATCAGTGGATCACATGTGCAATGCTCTGGCTGCCTCCTGTCCATGTCCTTACCTCGGTATGGACATTCATTAACATGGATGGGAGGAAGAGTCAATGGTCACTACACTTGTATTCCACTGAGAACTATGAGTCCCTCTGCTGCAGTGGCTGATGGAACTTCTAATTTCTCCATTCACAGAGCCTGTCAAAGGATCTGTGAGTGGATACCATGGCTGTGTAAGCCGAGCCAGGCACTGATGCACCATTTTCAAAAATCAGCACTTAGATCAGGGGCGGGGATCCTCCGGCCCGCCAGCTGTGGTGAAACTACAAATTCCATGAGGCATCGCAAGGTTTTTACAGCCACAGGCATGACTCCCAGAGACAGATGCATCATGGAATTTGTAGTTTTACCACAGCTGGAGGGCTGGAGGTTCCCCACCCCTTACGTAGATGAAGCGTGAGACCCCCCCCCCCACCTAGTTTTTTTTTTTTTTTAACTTTAACCCCTTGCTACCACCTGCCCCTGAGCCCTTTAACTGAATCTTGACATTGGGAGGCGGAGTCCTAATGATGCGACCGCTGTGATGCTCTGTCTTGATGTTGCTTCTGGTGGCGCCATCCGCTTGTTAATTGATCACACACACATTCTACATATATTGCTATGAATATTCTACTAGAGAGCCAGTGACCCCCGTATTACAATGTCCCCTGCTCACAGATATTAGGATTTTAAAGAGAACAATCTTCCAGCTAAAACTATGGCAGGAGGACATATCACTGTCAAGGTGCTTTAAATATCTGTTAGAGGATTAAACCTATTTTGGTCCTTCAACAACTAGAAAAAAGTTTTGTATGGACTTACACTTTAATGCCCAACTCTGCAAGGGTTAAATGCTCATTAAGTCCACGGTAGATATGAAGAGGAGGTATCACTTACCATAACCTCCGCTCCGATGGGCTCTCCTTTTCTCTCTGGTGCTCAGGGTTGTGAGCCGTCATCACATACAATGCAGTTCTATTGGCCAGAGGTTGTCTTACAGAAGAAGCTTCGGGGGACCGGTCGCAGCGATGGAGGGACCCCCAGGGAGCAGGGAATAAGGTAAGTATTACTTATCCCTCTACCCCTAGGATAACGCTGGCCATACACTGATCAATTTTTTTCCCTGCGGTCTGAACGGGAAAAAATTCTAATTTCCCCCATCCACGCTGCCGGGCTATTGTGTGCCGCTACACCTGACCAATGACTGCAGGTGATTGGTCGTAGTAACAGTTGGGCTGAGAATTTTTAGACTGGCTCCTTCAACAAAAGTCCATTGTGTGGACTGGCTCCTTCAACAAAAGTCCACCCCTAGGGGGGTGGCAGCTGTTTGCATGAGTCTACCAGAGCAATTCATACAGTCAGCCTCAAGTGTAAATAGGGCCTATAGATACTGAGCAAGACTTCTACTGAGTTTTAAGCAGTCATCATGTAAAAAAAAAACCAAGGTCAAAACTTTTGAATGAAATACCTTTAATTACATTTATTTGTTTATCAGACACTGCTAGAAGTAAAGGTACTTAAAGTGTTAATTGGTACAAAAGAATCAATGTTTTTCAGCACAGAGCCAACTTCCCATCCAATAACTTGATGGGAGAAATCGGCTACCTGTCCATACTAAAGACAATCTGTTACCAAGAACAGAGCACTAAGATATGTATCAGTTCACTAGACAAATAAAGTAACATGTCACTGCTTGTCTGTCAGTATCCGCATCAATATAACACTATAAAAAATGAATTCACCCTATGAACAGCCGCTCTGAATAATAAAATGCAGCGTTCAAGCAGAATGCAGCATCAGGAGCTCCTTGGCAATTCCTGTTGCAGAATCAGAGATGTCAAAAGCTACAACTTTTCCACTTCAGGCTACTCGACAACAAAGGGTGCTTTAGTCTGCCTTATATGACAGTTATGACAGATTTGACAGACAGTAGGCTGGATAAAACACGCATACAGACACTACTGTCAAGAGGTTTTGATGCTTTCAGACTTAAAGATGTGTATTTTTTATCTTTTATGAAATAAACTGATCTCTGATACTTCATAGAAAATCACTGCTGTTGATGTCACAGGCTTTTTTTTTTTCTTGCTCCAGCCTCTCATTTTGTTATTTATCGTGCTAGTTTTTGATACAGTTGAGAAAAGTGGACCGGAACATGCTGAGCAGAAGCAAAAGCATTACTGGATAGCCATTCACACATTCCCAAAACATGACAATGCTCAACATGAAAAATCCTAATATTTTCGCTGTGTCTCTTGTAGCTCAGAAAAATAAATGAGCTTTTCTAGGGAAGCATCGCGCTTTTAGTCCCATTGACTTCAATGGGAGTGCCTGAAATACACCTATGATTCTCTTTGTGCTTGACACTAGATTCTTATCTGAAACAACAACATTCTAAGCATGAATGTGATTTTCGTTCAGGAAAAATCGTATATTTTGTAATGCTCACGTGCTCATACATCTAGATTCTATGCAAGTGGCACATCTAGACAGAATTTGAAGGGCTTTCAATTGAAATTAGTTGGCTCAATGATGGCAAGATTAAATGCTCTGACAAGCGATTTAGAATTTAGAAGGGCAGCTTTAGTCTGGTACCCCAATGAATTTGAGGCATGATGATGAAGCACAGAGCACAGTGAGGCTCCATTCACATATAGCGTTAGCGGTTTCCTATAGTCCTCGGATTACTATAGCCTGAACTCGTGGAATCAGCCTATTAAATCATGCTTGGACTATTTTGTGGGATGCGCGGTTTCGTACAGTGCGGCCACCACAAGAGTCTGAACAATGCGCATTGCAATGCATTTGTTTTTATGTTTGCAAGCGTATTCATATGCGCGAATACGCGCAGAAAACCGCTCATGTGTGAATGGAGCCTGACTATTCACTATTATTTTACTGTAGTATGATCACTAAATGGGACCCTCTGATTTCTGCACATATTTGCTTTTATAATACTTATGTAGTCCAAGGTAGAACATTTTCTTCCACTTTTTTGTCCTAGCTAATATTAGAACTAGTTATATCAGTGGTGGTCAACTCTCATGATATAGAGGCTCCTGATGTAGCTGATGGGCCACACATAATATTAAGTCAATGTAATGCTACTAGAAGCTGTGGGAGACTGCAAACATGCAACTGGTGATGGTCAAAGACCACAGGCATGCTACAAGATATTGTGAGAACCTGCAAACTTGCTGTAGGAGTTATTTGAGACTGGGGACATTTAAAAGATATTCACAAACCTGGAACATGTTTCACAAGACATAAGAAGAATGGTAACATGCTGAAGAAGACATGCATAGACTAGGAACATACTTTAGAAGAAATTCATAGATAGAGGACGTGTTTCCAAAAACATTCATAGAATGGAGCCATGCAACAAGAAATGACCAAAGCCTACGGACATGGTAGAAGAGATTGTCAGAGACTGCAGAGTTGCTGTAGGAGCTGTTGGACACCGGGGACAAGTTTCAGAAGACAATCATTGACTGGAGCTATGTCTCAGAAGTCATAGACTGGAAACATGCTTTAGAAGACATTTATAGACTGGGGACATGTTTCAAAAGACATTAATAGATTGGGGACATGCATCAAGAAATAGTCAGACTACAGGGATGCTACAAAAGATTGTCAGAGACTGCAAACTTGCTGAGAGTTGCTGGACAATTGGGAAATGTTTTAGAAGGCAGGCATAGGCTGAAAACATGTTTCAGAAGACATTTATAGACTGGGGATGTGCAACAGGTAATGGTTAAAAACTATGGGCAAGCTGAAAAAGATATCAGAGACTGCAAACTTGCTTAGCCTTGCTGGACACCAGGAACATGTTTTAGAAGACAGTCATAGAGTGAAGACATGTTTCAGAAGTCATGGATAGACTGGCGACGTGCTTTAAAAGACATTTATAAACAGAGACATGTTTCAGAAGACATTCATAGACTGGACACTGTTTCATAAGACATTCATAGACTGAGAACATGCTTTACTAGACATTTAAAAGCAGGAAATATGTTGAAGAAGACATCCACAGATTGGGGACATGTTTTGAAAGACATTCAAAGACTGGACATGTTGAAGAAGATATTGATAGACTGGGGACATGGCTCAGTAGACATTCATAGACTGGGGACATGGCTCAGAAGACATTCATAGACTGGAGACATGGCTCAGAAGACATTCAAAGACTGGGGACATGGCTCAGATGACAGTCAAAGGTTTTGCATAGTACTGCAAGAGATTACTGCCTTTACATTCATGTTTCCTACACCAACTCTCCACCCCCTTCCACCCCCCCCTTTAAATGTTTTGGTGCCACATTAGATATTTCTCTCAGCTTGATCCATTACAAAATAAAGAAAAAACTAAAAGTGAAAAGGGGTAAACAACACAGAAAAAGTAAGATTGTGTGAAGTAGTCCAGGTCCACAGGTTTGTCACCAGGGAGTTACATAGTACCACATACATGCATTGACATTGGATTTACCTGGCTGGGCTCTGTAGCTCCTCACTGTGTTCCCATCCTGAGATCTGCTGCCTTCTCGACTGTACTTTTCATATAGCCTCATCATATGCATAGAGAGTGGATCGGTGGCTGGGTTCAGCATCCCTGCAGCTTCTGCTGATGGGCTATCTCTGTGGCTAGTGGAATCAGGAGCCCGAATCAGCTTTCCTGTGCTCACAGACATGAAGACCAAGAGCATCCAGTAAGGAGACATCACTGGGACGTTCAGGTTGCAGTCTGATGATCTGTGCTAACAATCAGATTTCCTCCTTAGATCCTAATGACTGAGTTCTGAACTCCTAATAAATATTCTATCACAGATGTGATGATCACGAAGTCACAGGACTGTTAACCTCGGTCACAAGATCGTCTCCTTGCACTGATCACCCCTGTCCTCTCTGGATTCCCTCTGTCCTTGCTAGATCTCCCTTATTCTTGCTAGATCCCCCTCTGTCCTTGTGCTACCTGGTCACCCGTCCTTGGCTTCCCTCTGGTCGCCTGTGTGGTTCTCTCACTCCCGGGTGTCACATTCAAAGCGGAGCAAAACGCTGGAGTTAGAAGGGGCGTGGCTCTGAGTAATCTTAGCAATCTTAGTCCAATCGCAACTTGCCTCCGGCTTACTGTGTCCAATCAGAGAGCGAGAATCTTTGCATCTAGTTCATACATTCAGTAACTGGATGCTTGGACTAAGCAGCACTCAGGAGTTCAAAATGCTTAACTTTTGTAATTGAAAATATAAAAAAATATTATATTATTATGAAAAATATTTCAACCTTTTATACTAATATTAAAAAATAAAATATTGTTTTTAAAAATATATTGTCAAAAATGTGATTGTTATCCCAAAATATTTATTTAGATTTTTTTTTTTGAAAGATGCCTTATGTATATTTAGGTGTAATCCTTCCTTATTACCCCTTTGACCCACATACACACCAGCTGAAAGCCCCTGTGCACACTTGCGAAGCACAATATCACGTTTGTCACATGCTGCAAATAGGGCAAAAGAAGCTCATGCACTTTTGTGAGCTTCAAGCTTCACACTTTAACTGCACATTTTTTGTTTGTCGTGCGAAAAACACACGTCTCACTTGGCGTGTTTGGGGTGCCACTAAAAATGAATGCACAACATGTGGGATTTAGGCAGGGCCGAAGCTGGGCGGGGGGCATGGGCCCGCTAGTGCTCCTTAAGGAGGGGCGCCACTGGGTGTGTGGATGGAGAACTTCTCCCTTGGGTGGGGAGCAACTCTGAGCCTTTGCCCCGGCTGACAGAATGTCTAGCTTCACCACTGGATGTAGGGCATATTTACGTGCTACACTGTACAATGTATGTGCAATGTCTATCACATGGGTTTGAGGTCCAGTTCACATCTGTGCGCTGCTGCAATGTGTGCAAAGGTAGCGTGTGCCAAATACTGGTCGCTTTGCAAAATGTGCTATGATGCCATTGTTTCGCTACACACCTTGCTGCACCTTGCACTTTCACGTGTGTGACATCACACCAAAACACATGGTAACAAAGTGCCATGCATTTTGGTGCAGTAAGTTTTGAAAAAAAGTGCAGGGATCTTTTTTCGTGTGATTGTTATTCTTAGGGCCGCACATCGAATCAATGTGCTGCCCTATACGTGACGCACAAAACGCGCATACTGTTGCACCCACATAAGTGTAAATGGGGACTTAAAGGTAAGCTTAGCTTATAAGTACTAGTCTGAAGAACTTCAGCACACATTGGTCCACTGGTATACTGAGCCCCTGACTTCAGTACTCTCTGAATCCCTGACCCAGAAACATATACATACAGGGTGTTCTGAATTCTTCATGCTGCATATTTGTCCTCCTTCATTTAATTTGGGAAGTGGCTGCATTCGTTTTCTTTTTTCTCTTCATTTTCAACAGGAGATCCTTCCAGTAACACACTTCCTAACCTATGGTGACAACACTCACTCCACAGGATCCATGGACAAGCAGCATTGTCACCCTACACTGCTCTCCTGCTTTACACTACAGACACCTTTTCCTCTTCTCAGTTCCATTATATAAGGGGGAAAATGTTTGAAACATTAGTTCAGTTTACCAAAAGTTAAGCCGGCAACAAACCAATAGAATTTTGTTTGAACATTTTCATTTTCGGAACATTAGTTTGACTTTCTAATAAGTGGGGTGTAATCGATGTTCATTTTTGACAATAAGAACAAAGAAAACTTGAGGTAGCAGGATGTAAATTTTATCTGAACAAACAAAATTCTAACCATGAATGTGATTTCTGGTTGGGAAAAGTCGTACGTATTGTAATGTCCATTTGCTCGGCATGAAAGAAACCTGTTTAATACGTCTGAGATTCCATTCAAGTACCAGATCTGGACAACCTTTAAGAAGTCCTAACTGTCTCCTTCAGATGCGGCCACTGTACACATTGAAGTTAATGACAGGGTGACAGTGTCCGCATCTGTATGCAACTGTCCGCATGTAATTGTGCATGATATGATTACATGCAGTTTGGAATAAATAACTGTCACTGGTTGCAGGATAGATGCATCCAGACATAATAATCTATTGCAAAACGCATGTAATCGTATCGTGTACAAGTACATGTGGACTGCTGCTTACAGATGCAGCCACTTTCACCCGGTCATTAACTTCAATGGGCACAGTGGCCACACCTGGCAAAGAAATTAGATCCTGGCAATGTCGAATGCCTGACAACCAATTTCAAATGAACATTCCAATGAAATTCTAACAGTGTATGGCCAAATTTACAGGGACGCTGACATTCTGTTAGGACAATTTTCCACTCAGCTCTTTTGACAAAAGTCGATTGAAAACCTCAGCAGGGTCACCCACAGCTTGGATTTCACCCAATTCAGCTGGAGTCGGACAACATTTAAGCCAAGGATGACCAACTTTAGGACGGTTAAGCTGCAAATTATTATTATTATTATACAGGATTTATGTAGTGCCAACATTTTGCACGGCACTTTGCAAAAAAAAGAGCTAGTACAGTTACAATACAAGTTAATACAGGACGTCTAGGAGGACCCTGCTCATAAGAGCTTACAATCCTAAAGGGCACAGCAAGTAATACAAAATGCATTACTTGTGAGGGATGAGCTGATGAAGGAAGTAAACTTACAGATTTTAGGTGGAGGTGGGATAGGCTTCAACTAAGGGCAGACTGAGTAAAAGATAGACAGATTGGGGTAGGAAGTTCCAGAGGATGGAAGAGGCTCTGGATAAGTCATGGAGGCACGCATGGGAGGAGGGGGAATAGGCTTCCCTGAAGAGATGAGCTTTCAAAGATCACCTAAGGGCAGACAGAGTAAAAGGTAGGCAGATGGATTGGGGTAGAAAGTTCCAGATGATGGGAGAGGTTCTGGAGAAGTCCTGGAGGCAGGCATGGGAGGAGGAGCCAAAGAAACTAAAGAGCAAGAGGACGCAGGAGGAGCGGAGAGGGCGGTTTGGATGATAGATTGAGACAAGGTTGTTGATGTTGCCGGGGGATAATTGTAGATGATTTTGTATGTTATAGTCTGTGTTTTGGATTTTATTCATTGGGTGAGTGGGAGCCATTCATTGGGCGATGGGAGATTTAGATCCTTTAGATTCTTGAGATCAATATAAGAACAATCCTGATTGGTTGCTGTAGGCTACAGCACTTAGCACATGGCTCTTTTCTGTATAGTTCTGTTGTTCAAATCTCCATTTCTTTTCATGCCATCCTGTCAAATGGGTGATAAATTAAGACCGGTGAGCATCACAGGCAGATAATGATTTTTTTCCCAACTTCTCAGAATCTTGTTTGCATTTCTGGCACCCCAAACCTCTGACGCCAATTAACTTGTTGCTGCCCATAAATGTCCTTCTTTGATGCTTTCGGAGGGGTGCTCCACCAGTGACCTCTGGAGGGGGGATACGTAACTCTCTTTGTTGCCTTATTTGTGCTGTCAGCAGCCTCCACACAATCAAGGTCCTGTGAAAAAGAGGAAGACCTGCAGGAGGCCATATTAGGCCCAGGCTTGTCTTGTAAGCTGGCCCCCACCACCTCCCTCCTTCTACTCTCACCCTATTCAAACACAGATTTAGCACAGCTCTTTAACTTGCATTAAAACCCGCAGGACACGGATACTTTTACATGGTGAAGAAGGACCATAAAAACTAAACAACAGACAAGAATGGCTGATCCGTCCCCAGTTTGTTTTACTACTGAGCAGCGGGAGGGCAAGACTTTTGTTTGGCTCTGCTGGGCCTCCATTATATGACTGGGGGGATGAAGCAAAGTGTGTTTTGCTGAAAGAAATGGGTCTCACTGGAGAACAGCAATGACAAGTCAGAGAGAGGGAAAGAGATGTCAAGGGAGAGACAAAATACCTCCCTTCTTTTTCTTTCCCTGATATAAGAGTTTCAGTTACACAAGTCTGGGCCTTGCCATTGCTTGTGCAGGCGACACAATTCATCAAGGCTAAGGGATGTACAGAGAAAGAGGAAAAGGATTTGAAAAGGAGACAAAAAAAGAGACTTTTAGTTATAATGTCCACTGCTTATCCTTAAAAGCTTTGCTTTTTCACAGCCAGCTGAAATTTGGATATTTTTTGATTCACCGCTTATCTGATGGTTATTACATTTTGCTTTTTTTTCATAATTCTCTTTTCTAGAAATGAAAAAAAAAGTGTGGGAGTAAGTAGGGAGGATGAATATCAATTTAATTTAACCAGGATCTAAACTCCTAAATTATAATAAATCAACTCATACTAATTCCCCAATTGAATGGAGATAATCCTGTCACCACAATATGTGTAACAATAAATCATCTAATCATATGCATAAATTATTTAATAATCATAATATTATGAGCAATAATTTATGCATATAAATGATTTATTAAATATAATCATCTATATTAGATCAATCATCTAATTATATGCATAAATCCCCTTTCACGTGGTTTGATTGGAATGGGACCCATGCATGAATCCCCTGCTGATCGGAAGGGATCAACAGACCACACCCACTTCAGGCAGCCTGCGGAAAATTACAGGAGGGGCAGAGATAAGACCAATTACACTGCACAAGGAGAGAGAGCAGCAGTGACCAATCTTTATTAACTACCTCCCGGCCGGCCGGTGTGTAAAAACGCCCCCGCTCCAGCGGGAAAGACACAAAATTAAAAAACCGGCAGCGATGCCTGTCAACATACAAACGATCCGCCGGCTATAG